ACTCGAGGAGCATCTGGCAGGTGGGGAGCCAGGGGCCCTAAACGGGGAAGATGCAGGGGCCTCACCCCTGGATCAATCCCCGGGACCTCACCTCTCTCCACCTGAAGCACTCCCGCTCGCTGGGACCGCCCTTGTCCTCTGCCCAGCACCTGCTTCCCGGGGTGCACCCAGCCTTGCAGCCAGCACCTCCTCCAGTCCTTGCAGGGCAGCCGCAGGGCCTGGGGCAGATTGCCTTCAAGAAGCCCAGGGGGAAGTGGTCCAACGGAGAAAGGGGCTCCGGACCAGGATCCTCAACAGACACAGAGCCGGGCTGGGCCTGCCCAAGACGCCAGCCCCCCAGACCTCCAAGCTGCTGCTTACTCCACGGCAGGTTTCTACGCAAATGTCGTTTTCTCAGGGGCTGTCCCTGCTAAGTAGCAATCTCCTCACCCGGAGTGTGCGTCATTCCCTCTGTGGTACCAGCCTGATCTTTCCATGTAATTCCTGGCACTGCTTGACTTGGTTAACACCGATGTATTGCAGCACCAGTCTTTGGGAGAAAGAAGTCCCCATAACTGCCCCCTGGTCTCAGATTAAGACATTTAACCTTCCTGTGCCCTTCGTGAAGCAGCTCGCCTGGCCTGGTCTCTGCCCAGGGACAGGAGAACAGAGGCCTAAGGGAGCTTCAACCCTGCGTGTTTGTGTGCATGTGAGCTTCACCAACTACACTAGAGCCCTTGACCGTGTGAATCACAACAAGCTGTGGAAAATTCTTAAAGAGATGAGAATACCAGACCACCTGACCTGCCTCCTGAGAAATCTGTATGCAGGTCAGGAAGCAACAGTTAGAACTGGACATGGAATGACAGACTGGTTCCAAATCGGGAAAGGAGTACGTCAAGGCTATATACTGTCCCCTGCTTATTTAACTTCTATGCAGAGTACATCATGGGAAATGCCAGGCTGGATGAGGCGCAAGCTGGAATCAAGATTGCTGGGAGAAATATCAATGATCTCAGGTACGCACATGGCCCCACCTTAACTGTAGAAAGCAAAGAGGAACTAAAGAACCTCTTGAAAAAGGTGAAAAAGGAGAGTGAAAAAGCTGGCTTAAACCTCAACATTCAAAAAACTAAGACCATTGGCATCTGGTCCCATCACTTCATGGCAAATATATGGGGAAACAATGGAAACAGTGACAGACTTTATTTTCTTGGGCTCCAAAATCACTGTGGGTGGTGACTGCAGCCATGAAATTAAAAGATACTTGCTCTTTGGAAGGAAAGCTATGAACAACCTAGGCAGCATATTAAAAATCAGAGACATCATCTTACCAATAAAAGTCCATATAGTCAAAGTTATAGTTTTCCAGTAGTCATGTGCAGATGTGGGAGTTGGACCATAAAGAAGGCTGAGCACTGAATAACTGATGTTTTTGAATTGTGGTGCCAGAGAAGACTCTTGAGAGTCCCTTGCATAGCAAGGAGATCATACCAGTCAATCCTAAAGGAAATCTACCCTGAATATTCATTGGAAGGACTGATGCTGAAGCTGAAGCTCCAATACTTTGGCCACCTGATGAGAAGAGTCAACTCACTGAAAGACCCTGGTGCTCAGCAAAGTTGAGGGCAGGAGGAGAAGGAGACGACAGAGGGTGAGATGGTTCGATGACATCACTAACTCAATGGACATGAGTTTGAACAAATTCAGGGAGACAGTGAGGGACAGGGAGGCCTGGTGTGCCCAAGTCCATGGGGTTGCAAAGAGTCAGACATGACTAAGTGACTGAACAACAGCAAAGTGCATACCCATTTGTGTGTCTGAGTGTGTGTGCATGTCTGTCTGTGGCTGTGCCTCTGTGTGTGTGTGTCTGTGCATGTCTGTGTATGTATGTCTATGTCTCCTTTTTGTGATTTCCTAGGATGAGTCCATTAAACCAAACCAAATTACTTCTCAGAGCAAAATATGAAGGAACCAGGCAGAAAGATTCAGCCAGGAGTTTCCATTCTCTGACCCCTGCGGTGGTGGTGGTAGTTTAGTCGCAAAGTCATGTCCAACTCTTGCGACCCCCATAGACTATAGCCCACCAGTCTCCTCTGTCCATGGGATTCTCCAGGCAAGAATACTGCAGTGGGTCGCCAGGGATAGAAACCAGGTCTTCTGCACCGCAAGCAGACTCTTTACTGACTGAGCAACAAGAGAAGTCCCCTGACCTCCTGCAGTGAATGCTCTGTTTTCAAAGGCTTCTGTCATCTTTGCCTGTTGACACCGGACCCCAAGTTGGATAGTAGCTCATGGTTCCTTCCTTGACACATCATGCCCTGCACGTGCCCGGGGCAAGGGTGTAAAGAAGGCACTGATCTTAGTGGAGCATGTGTGTTCTGAGGGGCAGAAACCATAAAAGAAAACAGAAGATGGTTTGGTATCATGATGGTGTCAGTAGGAAAATAATTTGAGTGGCAGGTCGAGAAGGTGGGTGGGGCTAGTGAGACAAGGCTTTAACCAGATGATAGTTGAAATAGAGGGAGAGCGGTGTGTGGGAGCCGTCATATCTCCCAAGAGCAAGGTGGCTGTGGGGAGAGGTCACCAAAGTCACAGAGAGCCCCAGCGAGGCCCCCAGCCCTGATGTCCACCCTTCCTGGGGTCTTCCCACCCATGGCCACTGAAGGACACTGAGTGTGGGAGGCCTGGGTTGTGGGGCTGGAGCCTACAGAACCCCAGGGCCAAGGGAGATGCTCTGATGATCTCAGACCTAAGCACCTTCCTGCCTGGTTCCCCTCCCCAGATGGGGGGCTGCTTCTCAACCTCCATCGCAGTTTGCATCACCTCCTTGGTCTCTGAGTAACCCTGTGCAGAGTTACCTTATCTGCGCACAAATGGCACTGTCAGTGTGAGAGGGAGGGAGGGAGGGATTCCATATCTGGGGGATGAATGCCCCCAAACCTCCATCTCCAGTCAAGCCCACCTCACCCTTTGTTCCCCGCCCACCCTCAGCCCTGGCCCCAACACATCACCCACACCAGCTCCAGGAGAGCCCAGCCTTCACAGGCTTCAGATGGCCTCAGAAACATCTCTTTTGTTGACTTGCTGGGCTGGGACTCCCTTCCTTCACTCAAGTATCTAATGGGCACCTTCTGACTGTCAGGCACTTCGCCATGCACGGAGATTCAGTGCTGAGTCTCAGGGAAAGTGGACCCTGAATTCACCCTAGAGGAAACACTGGTCTGGAGAAAGCAATACAGTGAGTCAGTGGGAGAGTAGGGGTCCTACCCAGGGTCCACACCAGAGACTGGCCTCCCCTCAGTCTTGCCAGAGAGGCGTCATCTACCTGCTCTGGAAACTTGCAGGGCCAAAGGGCAGGGGGCAGGGAGACTGGTGGTAGGTGTGTTTGTGATGTCTCCCTTGGCGAGGTTCACCTACCGTCCCAACTATGATTTCAGGCCAAAATGCACATTAATATTTCCTACTGGGGGTCCAGAAGCTGCCTGGGCCCAGGGGTACCACCCCTCTAGCTGTAGGTGGCTGATTCTGCTAATGTGGCGAAGTCAATACACACACACACACACTGATCACACACACACACACTCTGTCCACACACACACACACACTCTGTCCACACACACACACACACACACACTGTCCACACACACACTGTCCTGCCCAAAGCCAGGGAGGTTCCGAACACCCAGGCCCCTCTCTCCCTGCCAGGCGGATTCTAACCGGGGCGCCGGCGGGGCCAGAGTTAAGGAGCATGCTGGTCCCCTGGCGGTGAAGTGGCCCCGCACGCAGCATCCCCGAAGCTGCGCAGGCCTCCCCTCCGGGTTTGGGCCGAACACCCCGCCCCCATCATCTTCTCCAGGGGCGGCGGCCATAGCCCCATAGCCCGTCCCCGCCGGCTGCCGGGGGCGCGGGACCCGCCCGAGGCGGGGGCGTGAGGCACAAGGTCGCCGCCTGGGGGGAGCTCGTTCGGCGGCGCAGACGCCCAGCGGTCTCAGGGAGGGACTTGGCCCGGGTTTCGGCCCTCGGCTCTTCCGGGAGAGCCGGGAGGCTGAAGCGGGCCGAGGTCGGGGCGCCGGGGCCCTCTCGGCAGAGCCTGCTCAGCGCGGCCCCCGCGCCCTCCGCCTGGCTCTCCGCGCTCCCTCGGCACACCGCGGGGAGGAGGCGCCCTCTCCGTAGCGGGCCCGGGGCTGCAGAGCATCGCGGGGCGCGGCCGAGGGGAGGAGAAAGGAGACAGCGGAGTAGGCCCGGGCTCCCGGGATGCCAGCTCCGCCAATCTGCGGGCGCTGACGCGGGGGGCGGCTCCGCGGCGCTCGGATATCTGCCCGCCCGCCGGGGCGCCGGGCGGCGAGAGGTTGGGCCGCGAGGGCGCCGCGCTCGGGGAACGGCCGCTGCACCTGCCCGGGACCTCGCCGGCCTCTCCGCGCGCCCTGCCCCCGCCGGCCCCGCTCCCGCCCTCTCCTCGGTCCCAGCGGCCCCGCGCCCTGGTTCCCCACCAGGTCCTCACCTGCGGGCCGCAGCGCGCGCGCGAGAGAGAGCGCCGAGCCCTACCCAGGGAGCCGCCCCTTCGCCTGGCCCGCCGGGCACCCAGCGCGGCCCGCGAAGCCGTGGAGACTGCGCCGAGCCTCGGATCGGACAGCGCCGCGCGGTTGCCACCGCCACCTCCGGGCCGCCGCGCCTGGGCCGGGATGGGCCTAAGTGTCCGGTCCCTGCGCGCCTGATGAGCGCGGCCGCGGCCCCGGAGACCCAAGCGGGCCGCTACGTTCGCGGGGCCTCACCAGGCTGCGCCCCTAGCTCCGCGGACCAGGGCCGCTGGGCCGGGCCGGCCGAGGGCGCCGCCGCTCCGGAGAGGCGAGAGGGAACTGCCTCGACATGGCCGGGCAAGCGGGCGCTTTGGCGTCGGGCGCCCTCCGCGTGGGACAGCTCCAGGGCTGGTAGCCGGTCGACGCCAGATGGACCTTGACCCGCGCCGCGGCACCGCGTTCGTGCCGAATCAAGGCTAGAGGGGCACTGGCGGGCGGCGCTCCGGGGGCGCCAGGAGGTCCAGGCCGCACTCGTCTGGGACCATGAAAATGATTCTGGTGCGCAGGTTCCGCGTGCTCATCCTGATGGCCTTCCTGGCGGCTTGCGCGCTGCACCTCGTGCTGGATCTGCTGCCCAAGCTGGAGCGGAGCGCCGCGCGGCCCTCGGGGGAGCCCGGCTGCTCCTGCGCGCAGCCCGCGGCGGAGGCGGTGGCCCCCGGATGGGCCCAGGCGCGCGGACACCCCGGAGGGGAGCTGGCGGCTGCAGCCTCCGCCGCCGGCGACGCGGGCTGGCCCAACAAGCACACGCTGCGCATCCTGCAGGACTTCAGCTCTGACCCTTCCTCCAACCTCACGTCCCACTCGCTTGAGAAACTGCCCCCCGCAGCCGAACCGGCCGAGGGCGCTCCGCCGGGGCAGGATCCCGGCGTCCCGCGCCCCCCAGATCCGGCTCACCGGCCGCTACTCCCGGACTCCGGCCCGCGTGGACCTGTGCCGCCCCCTGGCCTGAGCCGGGACGGCTCCCTCCTAGCCAGGCTGTTCCAGCACCCGCTGTACCAGGTCCCCATTCCACCTCTAACAGAGGGCGATGTCCTCTTCAACGTGAACAGTGACATCAGGTTCAACCCCAAGGCAGCGACGGGAGAGAACCCAGACTGGTGAGTGGGGCGGTGGTCGTTGAGGTGGGTGCTGGAAGGCTGGACTCCAGAGGCAGCCAGGAGCCTTCTGAGAATAAGGAGCCACCCAGGGCCGCTTCCCGGGAGGCGCCCTTGCACATCCGAGGGGCTGTGTAAAGAGCCTCAGGGTCAGGGACTCCCCGGGGCGTGGACCTTGCAGTAGGAGCCCCAGAAAGGGGAGTTTGGGGGCACACAGCAGGCAGACTCCAGGCACTGCCTTTGTCTCCAGAATGACCGCCTCCCTGAGGAGGACTGCTGGGCAGCTGGGAGCTCTTCCCTGTGGCCACTGGCCTGGAAGGCAGGCGGGGCAGGCGGGAGCCGGGAAGAGTCGGCTCTGCACTTATGGGAAAGCAGGGCTGGCTTGCAGGGCCTGGTCTCTGGAGCGAAAGCACTTCCTTGGGAAGCGACTGGCTGCCGGCTTCCAGGGACTTGGCAACGCTGCTCTGGTGGACACGTCAGGAAGGTCTGGAGCGGCCTAAGGAGCTTTGTAAACCACTCCCTGAGAACAAAATTAGTGAGGGGCGTGCTGACCCCCTGAGGCATTACTGAGAGGCTCTCCCAGCCAGGGTGCCAACCATGCCAGCTGCAGACAGCAGCAGCTCCCTAAAAGGCAAGTGGTGTCCCCAGGGGCATCCCTTTAACCGCTTTAAACCCCTGCCCCCAAGGCCCTTAGCCACACAGACCAAAGTAAGCAGATGCTGCAGCCCAGGGTGATGAAATATTAACCAGCAAGGCCAACATAAATAACTACCTGCGAAAGGTTACCCAAGCAGCTGAGGGGAAAGGCCAGCTTTCCAAAACATCTCATAAAAGACTTTCTCCTTTGCATTTGGACCAGGCCCAGGGTTTTCAGTCTAAACACACCAAGGTGTTTGGTAGCCTCTGAGCTTTATCTGCTGGCCAGGTTCACCGGAATGCTCAGCAATTTGAGAGGCAGAGCCATGAGCCAGGCCTCAGCCTCTTTGTAGGAGAGAGAGAGAGTCCGGAGCAGCAGTCAGTGATGGGACTCCTAGGCAGCTTCTTGTGACCTGTCATGTCCATTGTGGGGCAGCATTTGGCTGAAAAGGCCTCACTTGCAGGTGAATTAGCACTTAGGTTCCGCTGTTGCCTCTGGCAGCAAACAGAGTCTGTCCTCCCTCCGACTGGCCCCTTGACTCCAGAGACAAGGACGGGCCACGTGGGCAGCAGGTCCTCGATTTGCGCTTGGGCTGGAGTGAGCACCACTTTCCTCTCTCCCCACCCAAGGCTGCTTCCTGAAAATCAAATTTAGCCTCTTGCATCACTGCTGCCCTGAAGCAGAACACCCAGCGAAGGCTTCAGCCAGACTGGGCTCGTCTGCCCCCAGGAAGGCAGCAGCCCCTCATACCCCAGGCTGGCAACATGCTGGCCAGGCTGTTTCAGAGACCCCAGGACAGACCCGGCGGGGCCTAGCGCTGACAGCTGGGGTTTGGTCTCCTTTAGTTATAGCTGTCTGTGGCGTCTCTCGAGGATAAGTGAGAATTACAGGCCTTCAGATATGTTATTAGTCGGTTGAACAACAGCCACAGAAAAAGTGCGGACGTCGCAGGGTCCTGTTTGAGCAGAGGCTCCTCTAAATAAACCCACGTTTGTTTGGATCCACAGTGAAAACCTTGGCGTCGGTGCCAACTCCCCCGTCCGTCCCGAGGCTTTGCTGTTTGTCCTTTCCCTGCTGACCTGGGTCACCTTCATTTGTGCAGGCCACATGAAGGTCCTGAGGATGGATTCCTGCCCACTGGGGAGGCGGCCGTGGACTCCTATCCCAACTGGCTCAAATTCCACATCGGCATCAACCGATATGAGTTGTACTCTCGACACAACCCAGCAGTGGAGGCCCTGCTCCGTGACCTGGGCACCCAGAAGATCACCAGTGTGGGTAGGTTCCCTTGTGCCTGGCCGGCTCCTTGTTGAAGCATCACCTCCTGGGCGAGTTATACCAGCAGCCTTCCTGGAGGAGGCGCCCACAGGCCTTCAATGCTGTCTGTAGTTGAGGGGGGATGGTGGAGAGGGAAGGGCTGCCTTCTGCTGCAAAACAAGCAAGGTAGGACAAGATGCCACCCAGCCCATCCTATTATTCTGCTGGGCAGGGGGGTTGGGGCCAACCCTGCAGGTGAGGAAAGGTCAGCCCTGGCAGCCGCAGGGAGACACCGCAGAGAGGCCAGAGTCTCCTGAAGCTCACATCAGCTCCTGGATTCGGGGCGGACGGGGAGTGACCATGGCTCCACTCTGCCCGGGGCAGAGCCCCATGCACCGAGTAGTTTGGAGGTGACATCTCCGAGGACTTTGGGATCTGCTAAAACAGAGGATTCAGTGCACCCAGTTACTGATTTCAAGAAAATGTGTCAGCAGTGGTCTCTAGGTGTGGAGGTTTGGTGCCTTTGTTCTCAGGCCTGTAGGTGATTGTTTGTGAAGGTCCCGGGTTAGTCACCAGTGGCTCCCAGAGCAGAGGGGGCGGGCAGAGGCCCTGGGTAGGAAGAGCAGTCCTGGGGGGCCCAGAGGGTGGAGGAGGACTCGGGAGCACGGCACTGGGAGCAGGGGACTCCAGGCAACGTCTTCCTGACGTCTGGACTGTCCTGTGCTTAAAGGGCTCTGCTAACCAGGTTCTGTCTGTCGCCAGCGCCAGGGAGCTGGGTGTTGCTTGCGAAGCTGGCAGCTGGGGGTTTCCAGAGCTTCTTAGAGGCTATGTTGGGTGTCTCAGCCCGGCGCTGAGCTATTTCTGTCACCCGCCCTCCTCCTCGCATGTGGCTGTTCACCCTGAGAACACGATGAACACCCTCCTGGCCAGGGCAAGCTGGTGGTCTCCCCTCCTTGACGCCGCCCAGGAGGAATCTGAGCGCCTCCAGCCTCCCCCTGTGCTGAAAGGCGGTCTGTGCGGCCGGCGGGGACTGCTGGGGAGAGGCCGCAGCTGGCGCATTCCCTGCCCTCCTGAACAGATGAGGCTGTTAGAGAAACACCCAGTGTGGTGACCACTCATCGTCTGTCCCACAGGCTCTCCTGAGCACTTCCATGTCTCAGGGTTCCATCTGGGCAAGCAGTTGGGGTAAGCCCGACCCCGGCAGACTTCTGCTACATACTGACTTGCTTGTTTCCGGGGGCCCAGAAATGCATACATGATGGGCAGAGAAATTCCAGGGCGATAAGCGAGGAGGGGACCTCCACCCTGCAGGACCGGGTCCTAGATGGGGCAAAGGCTTTCATGGTGGAAGCTGGCAGGGAACACAGGACTTTGGGGGGAAACTACACCAGCATTTGAAAATTAGGGTTTAGGGAAGTGCAGCGTTCAAGCTTGCAGGCCACTGTCCACCATGGTCTCCCATCTGTCCAGTAGGCTCAGGCACGTTGCATCTTATTCCGGGAAGCTGGCCTGTGCACCAGGCGTGTGCTGTATTGACTCGGGCCCTGAGCAGGGCCTTGGGTAGAGGCAGGGCTGGGAGGGCCCCATGGGCTGGCCAGGCTCCCTGTAGCCCTCAGGGCACAGCCGGCCGCCCGCCCCACTCTCAACGGACATTGCTCTGCACCCAGGGGCCTGCGAGCCACTGGAGGAAGAGGACGGGCCTCTTCCGTGCCCTGGGGACTGACCTTGGGCCACCCCCATCGGGTCCAACTGTCCCGGGCTTGGTGCCCAGGCTGCCTGACATCCCAGTGGCCAGGACCCCACCCCAGAGTTCTGGCTTGCTCTGTGCCCAGCGGTGGGACCTGGACTGAGGGCCTTCCCAGCTGTGTCCTGCGGGCTGTTGGAGCTGCTCTCATTGCTGGATGACCCTGGCCAGCTGGCCCTAATCCATCACGTTCCTTGGGGCCATGGGCTGGTCAGAACCCAGGCTGTCACTCACAGGTGCCTGATGAGCATGGGAAGACTGGTGATGGCCCTGGGCGGCATTCCCCGTGGTGAATGGCGGTCCCGGGGTGTCCCGGTTCCCCCATCATGGGCCGGAGTGGCTCTGGGCAGACAAATCCAGCTCTGTGGGCCTCCTGGAGTCTCTGTGGATCACAGAGGTGGTCATAACCTCGACCCTGTAATCTCTAGCTTGCAAGTCCAAAATCATAACCCATTTAACAGCAAAGCCCGACCCAACATGAACGGACATGGAGGCAAAAGCTAAAATGAGAGGCTGTTTCTGAATCTTCGTTTTTCTCGCTTGGAGTGAACGTTCTCACATTCCTCTGTGGACACAGCAGTGTGTTTAAGTCCCAGGCTCTGCCCCCAACCCGCCCCGGCTGCAGGTCCTCTGAAATGGATGCCCCTGCGCCTCTTGTCACCTGAACACTTCTGCTCCCAGAGATCTTGAAGGAGGGTGTGTGTCTGAAGCCTGCCTCAGGGGCTGCTGAGGGGTGGGAGCAGAGGCTGTGGCACCTCTGTGCGGGGCAGCGGCGCTGGGCAAGCCGGGGTCCAGTGAGGGCCTTGGCTGGATGCTCAGCCCCACTCCGCGTGGCCTTGGGCCCGGAGGGCTCCCACGGACTCACACTTGGGAGGAGACCCTCTTCCTGGAGAAGCAGAGCATCACACTGGGAGTGGGGCTGGTCTGGCCAGATGCAGGCCTCCCCTGGAGAATGGACACTTTCCCTGGGTGGGTGCGGGGGTGGGGATGGGGGAGGGGTGGTGGCCCTCCCATCCAGCTGGACATTTTGATTAAAAACCCCACTGCTGAGACAGTGGTTTCTGACTGGGCCCTTGGCCTCACAGAGCCACAGGGTGGATTTAGAGACAGGGGTCCCTGGACAAGAGCTGTCTGCTGCCGGGGGCCCTGCCCCTAGCACTACTGTGACCTGGGGGTGGGTGCAGCCCTCAGAGGCCCTGTGGGAGTCTGGGGTGCAGCACTTCATGGGAGCCTGGAACCAACCTTGGAAGTCAGGGTTCAGCAGCGCTGTCCTTTTGAGCTTAAAATAGAAGAAGAGCTAGAAATCCAGCCCATCTCCCAAGTCCTGTCCTTCAAATAAGGGAACAGGCCTCCAAGAAGGTGGGCTTGCCCGTGGTCAGCTCATTCCTGCCCCTAGCTCCTGACTTGCTCCTGCCCTGAGCCGTCTCTTCAGTCTTGGAACGTGAGAGAAGGTGTGGCAAAGAGGGGGGCTCCTTCCAGACTCCCAGAGAGATTTCTTTATCGCTGGGCTCCTGGCTGCGTGGTAATGACCCTTGGCTGCCTTTAGAGAGTTCAGATGTTATCTGCCTCCATTCAGCTTGAAGCCAGGCCTGTGGAGGCCTGGGCCTTGCTGGTGACGATGGTGACGATTAAATCAATATCATGGACAATTACGCGTACAGAGTAAATGACCCAATTGACTACTCTGTGCTCTGAGTCATTTAAAAAGAAGTCACATAGCAGGAGAGGATTCCGGCAGCCTCTGACCTGAAGCGCAGGCCCTGCAGTTGTTCATCCAGGTCAGGATGGAGCCGTGGGTGGAGCTGAGCAGAGGTGATGGCTCCACTGGACAGATGCCCCAGACACTCACTGGCCTGCTCAGGCAGCCGCCCTGGGGGCCTGGAGGCCGCGAGGCCACCCTGCCTAATGAGCAGGCCCCTCAGGAGGGCAGCTCCGGCCCCAGGAAAGCCACAGTCCCGTGCCCACCCAGAGACACCGCCGCTTTGGGCCCTAGTGCCTCCAGCTCTTCCAATTCATCGGCGGGGAACCGAAAGTGCCCTGTAAGCCGGATGCCCAGCCCGGGGCCAGAAGGCCTCTGTCATCCCGGAGGAAGGACCCAGGCACCTCAGGGCTCCAGGGGCAGGCGGCGAACAGCTGCGTCCTGTCTCCGTTCTCTCCGCTGTCGGGCGGAAGCTGAAGGACAGAGCACCCGTGGTGCTGACCCAGCGCCCATGGTGCTGACCCAGCGCCCGCTCCGTCCACCCTGAGCCAACGCGGCTGTGTCCCTGGACTCCAGCGGACGGCTTTCTGAGTGGGTTCAGTCCGAGCCCCAGGAGCGAGCTGCTTTCCACAGGTGGTACTGTGGTTTCCCTTTCCTGCGAGTGGGTCTCATCCCTGCCCCAGCCCCATGGGGGCGCTGGGCCAGGGTGTGGAGCCCCCTTCGAGAGAGGCGGCTGCGGTCGGGGGAGCGGAAGAGCGGTCTAGGGCGCCAGCAGGGTGGGGAGCAGCACCCCGCCCCCACTGTGCGGCCCTCCGATCCCTCCGCCGTCGTCCCGGTTCCCAGGCCCGGCTGCCCTCCTGCTACGGCTCCTCCAGCCCAGGCGGCCCTTCCTGACCCTGAACGCTCCGCCTGTCTCAGGCCTCCGTCCCAGACCCTCGCTCACCACCGCGCCCCCGCGCCCTCACATTGCGCCCACACCGCGGCCTGTGCCCGGGTCTCGGGCCCCCCTCTCTCCCATGCATCCGCACTCACAGGCCTCCGCGGGCAGCAGCTGACCGTGCTCTTTCCTTCCCACTGCAGCCATGAAGTCGGGCGGCACACAGCTCAAGCTCATCATGACTTTCCAGAACTACGGGCAGGCGCTGTTCAAACCCATGAAGTAAGTGCCCGGCCAGCGGGTGGGGAGGGGGCGAGGGCCGTGAGGTCGCATCTCAGCTGCTCAGCCGTGGTCTTCTCACCAGAAGACAGCCAGGCTTTATGTGCATGGGCAGACCTGTGCCCATGAAGCTTTATTTCTGAAGCTAGTAGGTCAGCTGATTTGACCCCTGATCCCTATTCCATATAAAATAGAAACTGTGCTCCCCCAAATCAAAAGGAAGCACTCAGTGGCATCTGAAAATCGTGGGGAAGGTGGCGAAGGGACGTTTGGAAGGCAGACAGCCCCAGAGACTCACCACGTGCGTCTGTGGCATGTGATGTCCACTCTGGCGGTCCTGGGGCTTGGGTGTCTCCCATGGGCCGTTCGGTTAGTTTCACACGGGGCCGTCTCTGCCCTGACGAGAGGGTTCATCATGTTTAAAGCACGGGTTGCACCCCCAAGGGTCCGTGAGGCCACTCAGTGTCAGTGTGTGGAGGAAGTTCACATCTCCTTGTGGACTAGGGAAGACAACTGGCCAACCCCTGCTTTGTGACCGTACCGACCACCCAGGTGCACACGCCCACAGCGTTCGGGGGGTGTGATGCGGGCTGCACGTGGGCTCCGTGGGCCCTGTAGGAGACGGGATCCCCTGGCACCACAGGCCCCTGCACGCCCTCTCAGGCTGGAGCTTGAGTAGAGGGGCCCCTTCAGGCCCCTGATATCCCGGCGATGTGCTGGGGAGGAGGGTGGTCCAGGCGGGGTTGGGCTCCAACTCTCACTGCTGGCCCTCCCTGGCGGTCACAGAAATCCAGGACAAGCGCCAAAACCCACCACGTCCTTGTCACTCCCTCAGCCGCACTCTGGGGCACAGGCCTCCCGTCTCCGGGGTGCGTCGAACACAGTCCAGCAGACTGACCCCGGGTGTGTGCAGAGCCGCAGGTGGGCCCATGCCTGGCCCTAGGGGGTGGGAGCCGAGTGGCGCGGGCAGGGCAGCCTCTGCTGGGGCCCCAGGGCTCGGGGCTTTGTGCTGCTGGGACTCGGACAGGCCCGCGGGGGCAGCGGCTCTGGGCTCCGCGCCTTGGCTTGGGGTGGGGGGGGGCTCTCGGGGGACTCTCCTGGGTCAGTCCTCTCCTTGGGCATCCAGCCATGCTGTGTGTGCAGGTGCCCTGGGGCTACACCCACGTTGAGGGCTTGCACAGCATGTGGTTTAGTGCACAAGCACCTCTGTGGGGTGGAAGTGTCATTGTTGTTATTATTCTGCCAGGTAAAGATGCGGGAATCAGGGCTTGGTGAGGCGGCAGACCACACAAGGCTGACCAGACTCTGGAGCCTCCCAAGGCCAGGGCGCCCAGCCTCTAGCCCCCCTCAGCCTCCCCAGCCTCCCCCTACCGCGGGGTGACGTCACCTCCATGGTCACAGGAGGCAGGAGTGGCAGCTGCTGTGGTCTGGCAGACCTGGGCAGCCAGGCTTTGGAGGCCGCTTGGAAAGGCCGCAGAGTTCACATCTGCCCCCTTCTGCCCTAAACTCTCTGCCCTCAGCCTGTGTGCGCCAGAAAGGACGCCAGGGTTCCTGTCCAAAGGCCGCACACGGAGGGTCAGCCTAGGGCGCCGCTCATGTCCCATGGGCTGAGGCTGAGGCTGGGCTGAAGCCATGAAAAGTGTGGGGAATCCCCTGGTGGCCAGGGAAGCTGAGGCCGGGAGGACGGTGCGTATGCACAGCCAGCCTCCCTGCACGCTGCGCTCCGGGAAGGGGGCCCTGGCCGCAAGGCAGGCTCTGCTGGGCTCACGCTGCTGACCTCACACCCTGGCCAGCCCTCCCGCCACTCCTGCTGTCCCGGCCCACGCCCGTCCTGGCTCCGGGCTCTGACCTGCCCCAAGTTCGGCATCTGCTGAGGTCTGGTCGCTGGCAGCCGCCACCCTCCTGATGACCCCGGGGCACACCATTCCTGCCCCACAGCCATGGTCCGAGCAGGAAAGCAGCTGTGGTTCCTGACCACAGCACTAAGAAAATAAATATATGATTAATAATTCCCTTAAAAAAAACAAAGCTCTCTTCGGTGAGCCCATAATGTCTTCGTAAGCTGAGCGTTCTGAACTAATCTGGTGGGCGTCTTCTCCGAGGTCCTGAAGGGCTGTGCTGAGAGGGCCCAGGCGGACTCGGTCCTGGGGTAGGAGCGGGGCCCAGCGGGGCGCAGGGTGCGATCCCGTGGTGTGAGGGGGCCGCTCACAGTCTAATGGGTATATTTTACTAGACGTTGAAAAATGTATAACTAGCACATTAGCCTGTCAGTTGCTGGATTGTCTTGCTTTTAGTGTTAGAGCAAGATGTTTTAGCACCTTTATCCAGATACAATTCACATAGACCACATCCAGGGCCACTTGGATCTTCTTTGGAGAAACGTCTGTTCAGATCTTTTGCCGCTTGCCGTTGCGTTGGTCGTCTTTCTGTTAGTGAGCTGTGAGAATTCTTCATGTGTTGGGTCCAGATCCTCATCACACACATGGTGTCTTTGGAGGCACAAGGTTCTCATCTGGGGGGTGTTGGGTTCCACTGTCGTGCTGTTGCTTGTGCTTTGGTGCAGTATTTAAATTTTAACATTAGGAAAAGTCCATGCTAGCTCACAGTGGTACCAGTGCTGTGTGTGCCTGGATGGAAGCCTTGGTGTGTCCACAGAGACAGGAGGCCTGACAAGGCCATTCGTGTGTGACCTCCAGTAAGTTCCTTCCTTCCCTGGCACTCAGTTTACCCATCTGTCAACAAGGGCGTCTAAACTCTACTGGACTGGCTTTAGGAGACAGGGCACCACGTTTATGGAAGGAAGCCGGGAGGGGTTGGCGGTTTGGCGAGGCGGAGTGAGACAGCACAGATAAGCCAGAGTGTGCATCAGATTCCACCGTGCTCCTTAGAAGGGAAGCTTCCAGCCTGCTCATGACGCTGGCTGTGACCACCTCCTGGTAGAAACGTGCATTCAGCCACCGCACTCACAGTGAGCCTAGCCTGCCCTCCTGCCTCTGAGGGCCTTGACCCTGGGGCACGGGGCCTTGTGCTCAGGCCTGGTCTGCAGGACAGACAGGGGAAGGAGGGCTGAGCACGAGTGTGAACGTCAAGTGGGCATCACGCCAGGCCAGGAGTCCAGCCTGGAGGAGGCGACACATTCTAGGACTGGGTGGCCTCTGAAGGCTGGCGGCCCAGGGCCACTGTGTAGAGGACTACACAGAGGCTTTCTAAACTGAGATTAATTTAAATGAGATGAAGTTGCAGCCTAGTCTTTCTCCACACCTGGGCATCAGGGGTTGCATGTGGCTGGTGGTGCCATGTTGGACATGCCCAGAGTCACAGAAAGTGCCCTGGGACAGAACTGGTGGGGAGATGAGGCCAGGCAGCTGGAGACGGGCAGGGGCCAGGCCCTGGCAGGCATCTGGACCTGGATGTGATCTTTTCCCCCTCTGTACAGGGACAGGGCTGTGAGGGTGGGAGGGCTCACCGGGAACCAGAGGTGAGGTGTGGGGTGAGGACGGGGACAAGCCTGGGTCCCAGAGACACGTGGAGGGAGGCAGACGCCCTGGGCATGGGGACGGACTTGCTGGGGCGAGAGAGTGAAGGCTTCCAGCCTGGGAGACTGTGGCCAGGGGGCCCTGCGGGGGGTGTCCAGGCAGGCCAGGAGCACAAGGCAGGGCCGCGTTGTGGAGGGCATCCTTGCTGTGAGGCCTTGCAGCCCCCGTGCCATCTCTGGGCCACAGTTGCCTTCTGCTGCTTGAGGCTGGACAACAGGAAGCTTTGGGTCCCGGCCCTTCTGGCACCTCTGTGTCTTCAACCAGTAAGGCCATGGGTTCGTACTGGTGGGGGTCTAGCCACTGCAGCTCCCTCCCCAGCTCCATCCTTGCTAATTGTCTGGGTGTCCTGGGGTTTGCAGTTTTGACTTGTAGGCGTTAGAGGGATGACAAATATTGAGTGCGCTGTTTAGGGTGCACAGCTGAATGCAGGCTGCAGACCGAGCCGCAACTGTGCTTCTGCTCAGGTCACTGGCCAGCAGAGACTCATCACTCCCCACAGCCTGCTGAGGCTGCTTTGAAGTCCCCATCTCCACCAAAACAGCCGGGTCACCACCTGAGAGTTTGGAACCCAGAGCTACAATGCCCTCTGTGCCGCGTGTGGTTTGGGATCCAAAGCATGTTCAGGCACGGGGAGGGAAGGAAAGCACCCCTGCCCCCGGGTTGCTGTGAGGGGAAAATAACTCCAACAGCAAGACGACATCCCCGGGACATACAGGCCTGCCGCTGGAACTCCACAGGCCCAGCCTTGCTTGCAAACCAGAGGAGAAAGAGAAAAACCCCGTGGGCCAGGCTCAGCGAATCTGAAATGGGTCATTTCGAGTCTGGCTTAACGAGCACCTGTTGTGCAAGGCTCGGGAGCTGGGGGGACCATGGGAGGTGCCCCCAAGGAAGGCCCCAACCTGGCCTGGAGGCAGTTGGGGCTGAGGTCATAGGTGCAGGAAAGGGCACCACGCCAGGCCTCGTGGGCCAGACAGAGAGGCCATGTTAGCCTGTAGACCTGGTTGTAGACAGGGAGGCTGAAGCTCAGAGTGGCAGGGGACGTGCCCGAGGGCACCGGCCAGCAAGAGGTAGAGCTGGAGAGACCACTGAAAGTGGAAGTGAGCGTCACTCAGTCGTGTCCGACTCTTTACGACCCCATGGACTATACAGTCCGTGGGATTCTCCAGGCCAGAATACTGGAGTGGGCAGCTGTTCCCTTCTCCAGGGGATCTTCCCAACCCAGGGATGGAACCCACGTCTCCCGCATTGAGGGCAGATTCTTTACCAGCTGAGCCACCAGGGAAACCACTGTGTGACGGAGTGGCCACTGCATGGTCCCTATTCAGATCTCAGAGCAGTGGCCACTGTGATCTTCAACATCAGGAACACGTAGGTTCCTTCCTGGCTCCTTAAGTTGTAGTTCAGTTCAATTGTAACCCCGCGTGTCCACACCGTGTGGGCGTCTGGGCTGCCGTGGGGAAGCATTAC